ACACACAGTCGGCACGAAAACCTGACGCACAAGCAGAACTGCAAGATGACACAGGCGGAACGGGCCTGGAGTTGTTTGAATCAACTTTCCACCCGAACTGCAACGCCGGCCCAYGCGGGGGGCTTCATTAACCATTAATTCCTCAAATGGCTCCAATTCTGCTTCCTCAGAAACTCGTATTTAGCGTTTTAGCCCGCGYGTGGCCTTGCACACCCGGGATAAGCCCCCAAATCTCATTTTTTCCCCCTTTTTAAGGAGGTCTTCGGAGTAGGAAAAAATAAATAACCGGTGAAAAATCAACCGAAACGAGCAGACTTAATAGATAAACCGGCCACGGGGGTTTAATGATCAACGCCCGCGGCTTCCACGGGTCTGGCCTAAAGGGTTACTCGGGCCAGGGAAGTTTCCCCATGGATGTTTTCGGGATGACTAATGGATCGCGAGCGGCGGCTTGGCCGGCTCGGGGCGCGGCGCCTCCTGACAGCGCCGAGGGATAAAAAACCACCGTTTCGGTTAAAAAAGGAGAAGGGGGGCGGGGGGGGGAATGGAGGTTGGCGTTTCCCTTAAGGAACAACCGCGGCTCCTCGGCGGGAAGCGCGGGCGCTTCCAGCACCTTCCTCCCCCTCCGCGGCGCGCGGTTGAGGGAAAAACGAGTGAAAACGGGTCGAAAACGGACGGCGAGGGCAACGGCGGCGCGCTGGAAGGTCCCTCCGCCGCCCGCAGCAACATGTGCGCCCGGCCCCGCCAACACACGCGCTCGCGGGCGGAAAACGCACAAAAAAAACACATTAAAAAACACATTTTTGTCTTAAATAAAAGGAGTATCTCGCGCTCCACCTGCCCCCCCCCCCCGCAACCGCCGCGGAGGGGGCCGTGCGGAACCGAGCCCCCACTGGGGGGCCGATGGGGGGGATCACGCTGCTTTTGGGGGTGTCCTGGGGTGTCCCCGCGCCGCCCTCACCTTGCCAGTCGCCGCCGGGCTCGCCCCTGCCGCCGCCCAAGCCCACTGCAGCATGCCCGGCCGCCCCGCCGCGGCCGCTCAGCACGGCGCGCGGGGCTCCATGCCGGGCTCCGCACCTGAGCGCGATGCCGAGGGCCGGGCTTGGCTGGGCCGGGCTGAGCTGGGCTGGGCTGGGCTAGCCCCGCTCCGCCGTCGCCTCCGCCTCCCCTCAGCGGCCCGTCCCTGCGCGCGCGCGCACGCGGCGGGGAGCGCCTCACTTGTTGCGCGCCCCCGGCGCCAGCGCGTGCGCGCGCTCCCTAACACGCGCCGCGGGGCGGGGCCAAAGCGGGAGGCCGCCAATCGCGGCGCGCGCGCACGCCCCAGTCCCGCCCCTCGCCGCCCGCCGGCGCCGCGGATTGGGCGAGGCGACGCGGGCTCCCCCCCGCCCGCCGCCGCCTCAGCGGCTCGCGGGTCGCCGCGCCGCGGGGGCCAGGGCGGTTTTTGGTCCGAAACGGGGAGAAAATGGGTCTCCATGCGTTAGTTTCCGTTTTTAACCGCGGTYCCTGCCCGTGCGTGGGTCAGAGCAATAAAGTCCTGAGGGAAAAATCACGCTCAAGGCGCAGCTCAGGTTGCGGCCGGGGGAAAGGACGGGGGTTTTCGCTTGCTGGGTCCGCCCGGTCACGCTCATTCACGGGTAAATTCCGGTGTTTTTGGCTTTGCTTTCAGCCCGTGAGAGCAAACGCTTTCCCCGCGACTGCCGCCAGCGCGGGCGGCTGCGCGGGCGCTCGCCCCGTCGCTGCCGCAGACCCGAGCCCTTGCTCGGCCTTAGATTAACTTCAGACGYGAAAACAGACCAAAAAGAGCAAAAAAGGGAACTGAAATAACCCAAAGAGCAGAGATCAGTAACGTGATAGAGCAAAGGAAGGGATGGAGAAACCCCTCGGACCGGGGCRCGCTCAGCGTGAATAAATAAAGTTATTTAAAAGAGATGTCCCCTCATCCGTGCCCAAAGGCAGGCTCTGCGCCTCTGGTGTAACCAGGAAGCTTCAGGTCGTGTCCTTGGAAAAGCTCCTGCGTTCGGCAGCGCAAAGATCCCTCCTTTCCCTGCTCCCGCCTCGCCGGGAAGCGCCGGCCTCTTCCTAGGGGCTGCTGCGTTAATGCCGCTCACGAGCAGCCTAATTTGATTCGCGTTATAGCTGCGCCGAGGCCAAAGGATCTCTCCCCGGCTCCAATAATAAACCGAGGCGAAAACGTCCTTAGGCTGGGAGCGACTAGAACAAGCGCTAATTGAAAGTTATAAAGTTACGTAACAGTATTTATAAAAAGGAGCCCAGTTGTTAAAGGCCTGAAGAGGGACGGAGCATGGGAATGTTTGTCCGCCCAGCAAAGAGAAATTAACTGTGTGAGTTTATAAATTCCAGGTGCTTCGCTCGCTCCTGATGCGCCCAAGGAGTGTTTGGAGGCCCCACTGCGAGGGGAAGGACGACGCTCCCTTCTCCTGATCCCAAACCATGCGAACCGGTAACCACAGAACCTAAATCAAGGCCTCTCCGAGCAAAAACGGTAACTGATTTATCCATGGATACCGAGAGATGGTCAAGGATTTAAAGAATGGGCGTATGGAAGAGAGAAATGTCTTAAAATGGGATGTAGCTTATCCAGATTGAAGCCACAATAAAATAGGGAGGCCACCGCTGACTGCAGTGAAAACAGTTGGATCAAACACGATAAAAACACGGACATAAATTCCAGCATCAACACGAGCCAAAAGGAGCCACAGGAAAGAGGAACAACGATAGAGACAAGTGTAGAAAAAACRAAGGAAAAAAGGATGAGGCTGAATAAATGGTGAAGGCTCTGAAGTAAATCCCCAGATCCACATTAAAAGCAGCCTTTTGGGTTGAACGACTTGGAGTTTTGCCTGGCGGAGCCCAGCACTGCCCTGAGCACAGAGGGAGGCCCATGAGGACTCGGAGGGGCTGGAAAGGTCACCGGGGTGGGRAGTTTGGGAAGGGGGGATGTTTGATATGAAAAATCCCGATTTTTCACTCCTGGCTGGAGTGAAGGTGGGAGACAGCACTSCTGCCTGAAGAGGAAGAGGAGGGGATGAGGAAGAAGGTGCAACAGCTCTGCGGGGTTCCCCAAATCACGACGAGGCTCCCATGGCCTTGTCGTTTGGTCAAGAATACCCATTTTTTCATCTCTTTTCCTCAAAAACGCAGGTTCCCCGAGCAGTAAAATCAGGCTGGACTTTTCAGACAGACCCAGCTCAGGGGAGAAGCTGCTGGGAAGAGGGAGCAGCAGCTGCCGGGGGCACCTGCCCCTTCCTGCACATCCCGCGTCCTCGAGGAAAGCGTTAATTCCTACACAGCCCCGGTGGGTTTTGCCGCAGCATCCTCGCCTGCTTCGCTGTTTTCCCTATTTATTATTCTTTGTGTGAAATAATACTTCCTGACATTTGTTCCCAGTTTGTTTCTCTTTAATTTCCATTTATAGCATATTTTCCTATCCTCCGTCCATGCTGGAATAAAACAATAAGTATCTCTGACACGATGCGAGTTACTTAAGATTGCGATCCTTCCCTGACCTTGATTTTTTCTCTTTTTTTTTTTCTCAAGCATGCTCTGAAATGCAGGAATAACAACACGCCGAGGAACTGTGAGCAAGAGGCAAGCGTGGAAAGCGCGGAGAAGAGCCAACATCTCAGCCCTTCATGCCCATACAGGCAGCTCGGACAGGGCGKGAGAGCAGGGTCACAGAATTATGTATTTTTAAATAAATGTTGGGCTTTGGGTGCATATCACCACATTGCCTTTGCAGTTATGAAAGGCAGAAATATACTGTTTATTGGGTTTTTTTTTTTTTTAGAAGAAAATAGGCTTTTCTTCCAAGGAGACATCCCCAGCCTTCTGGGGAGTTTAGCTGGAGTATTTAGAGGGGAGGAAGGATTTCTCCTGCCCTCCTTTCCAGAACCAGCCTCTGTCCTGCTCTATCCTGAGACCAGGAAGTCAGGATGCAGAAAAGGGAGCAAGGAAAAGCAAGGGAGCAGGGATGGCCCTTCCACCAACAGACATGGGAAAACGGGAGGCTGCAAGATGAGGTGGTAGCGGGGTGGGAACGGGAAAGAAATGCCAAATCCCAACGTGATGGTACAACCTGTTGTAGGGGACGCTTCACCTTCCAGTGGGACAGATGGGAAAACGCAGCCCTTCCTCGTCCTGGAGGGAACGTTCACTCTGGCCACGCTGCCACAAGCAATAAATTCACAGGAGGAGCAAYGAGGAGCACTTTAATGATGGCACAGGAGTATTTCACATCGTCACCTCTATTCAGTACGAGCGTTCRGTGTCGTTTTAGATCAGGAGGCAGCTTACGGAGCTACAAGAAGGCAGGAATCACCATGGCCTCCCAGCAAGGCGGGCACTCAACTTCCCTTCAGCAATAAAGCCAAGGAGTGGGGCTGGACCAGGACCCCGCAGGGACTCTGGGGACCCCAGGACATTTACGGACCATCATCCAGGGCTCCGCAGCCCATCCCGCCGCAGCCCTCGCCCCTTCCCACGCCAAGCGGGTGCAAACGATGCCAAAGGCTCCCGGGGGCCTCCCGCAGCGCCCTGCGCGTTCCCAGCTCCCAGGCAGCTTCCAAGCAGCGGTTGGGAGCTGCCAAGGGCCATTTCCTAGCTCGCACACACTGTAAAGCTCGGGTTTAAGCAGAGGGCAGGACAGACATCGCGACCAGCGGGAGCAGCCGCGGCCGGGGAGGCTCCCGCCTCGGTGCTGGGCTCGTGGCAGCACAAAGGGGCGTTGGGGTCCCCCCAAACGCCCTGCACTCCGCTTCCTCTCGCAGGCCCCAGGGCTGATGCAGGCAAAGTCTGCACGGGGGAACGTGTCCTAGAAAGCCTCTGTTTTGGAAGGATGAACACGAGTCCCCTGCAGCCTGGCTGTCCCTTTGCTCCCTCCTCCCCAGCTGCCCCCATCACCTTGCCTGTTCCTCCTCCTTACAGCACTGACCAGACTCAATAACACGCAGGGGACAGAAATGCAATTCTTGGGTAAAAAGAGCAGAGATTCCCTTAAAGCGAAGCCCTGGGTATGCAAAGCTCCGTGCAGCATCCAGCGCTTCGGCCAGCGGCTCYGCTACGGCCACGGAGAACAGGCCTGGAACGGGAGGCAGAAGGAAGCTCGGAGGGCCAACTTAGCCCACATCATTCCTGAACGGGTGGCACATCCCTCCAGCTACAAAATCCTTAGCTATTTCCCATAAAGGAGCAGGAATGAGGAGGAAGCACCGCGCTGGCACGCCGCGTGCGCTGCAATCTCTTTATTTGCGGCAGGAGCTACGAGGCCTGCGTGAGCGAGCTCATGCTCGCCTCGATCTCCGACAGCTTCTTCAGCATCTGGTTCACCTTGGCCTCGTCAAATTCCAGACAGAGGAACTCCGATTCCTACAAAAGAAAATTGCAAGAACGTTAGCCGAGAAAGAGGAGCGTCCTCTGGGAACACACAGGGCAGGGTAACGTGTTTCCGCATCTCCCATTTCTCCTGCTACCGTGTGGAGAAGCCCGGCATGTGCAAAGGCCGAGTCTGCCTGTCCCCCTTTTCCATGCAGGGATCAGCTCACGTCAGCCAAGTCCTTTAGCTGCTGCAAAACCACGGGAGTTTAATGACATTGGAGACTTCCACTTTCCTTCCCGCTCCGGAGGACACAAACTGTTGCTGCAGATGCTGGGAGACACAGAGTGGCTGCAGCGGCTGCGCAGAGCTGGTCCCTTAGGAGAAACAGACTTTGCACGTGGGAAAAAAGAGCCCAAGGGCCGGTCTTGGCAAATGAYGTTCTACTGTGGAAACTTGAGGGAATTTCATAGCACTAAATAAGTTATTCTTACATGAAAATTGGGAAGCCGCACAGATTTGTTCTGAAAAAAAACGCAGCTGTCTCAAAAACACACAGAAAAAAAGTTATGTGGAAGGTTGGATACTGGGTGATGGAAAAAAGCCTAGGGAACGTGGCAAGGGCACAGAAAATACAGAATCTATATTAAAAAAAATATATGGAAATATAAATATTAGTGTGAAAAGACTTCCTGAGATCTCTTACCCATCAGCCTTACATATTGATATGCCTGCAGCCAGAACACATTTCTTACGGTGAATTTTGTGATTGCTGGTGTGTGGCTTCATAWGAAGGATCGTTTGGGTGAAGCCCTTTCAGTGACAGAGAAACAAGCTGCAAATATTCAAAACCTGAAGCACAGGGAGCCGCTTGCTCAAGAAAGCAGAGGAGAGGGAAAGGAAGGACCTAGGAGATGCTCCAGTGAGGAGGAGGAAAAACAGAAAGGAAAGGGATGGGGATGATGGGGCTTGCAATGTCAGAGCCTCCTGCTGCTTAATGTTGGTTTAAATAAAGCATTCAAACACAAAAATGGTTCTTTTTTTTGTCAAACACAAAAATGGTCCTTTTTTTGTCAAACACAAAAATGGTCCTTTTTTTTGTCAAACACAAAAATGGTCCTTTTTTTGTCAAACACAAAAATGGTTCTTTTTCGCGTGAAGGGAGTTCTCCTTAGCAGAAGTCAGAACAGCCTTGGCAATTTGAAATACTGAATATCTACTCACTGTCTCTCAGTTGCGCTGCTACTGCAGTGCTTACAAAAGCAGGAGAGCATCTCAGCTCTGGCTTGTTTTCTATCAAACTAAAATTTCTGTCATTATTTCAAAACGCATTTTTTAAAATATAATCAGCGTTAGCCCAGAAGAAAAAACAAATACTGCAACATAAATCTTGTAGGTTAAGAGGAAAGGAGGGTGGTTATTGGGAAGTCAGGCACACTGGAGGGCATGGAAAGATTGTGGAAGGCTCTGCCTTGAACCCCTTTAGACTGAACGGAGCCACTCACTTAGACCAGGACTTGCCAAGCCTGAGGAATGAAAACCCAGGAGGAAGATGGCATCACGGCCTTGCAAAGCCAGGCTTTGCCAAATTTTGGCTTCAAATATTGTTCAAATATTGGACAAGTGGGCGGTGCGAGGCCTCATGAAGTTCAACAAGGGCAGGGTCCTGATCTGATCAGTGTCTATAAATATTTCAAGGGAGGGAACGAGCAGGACGGGGCGGCCTCKTTGCACTGGTGGCCACTCACAGGACTAGAGGAGACGGCCACAAACCGACGCACCAAAAGTTCTGCAGGAACTTGCTGCAGGAAAACAGCATCCTATGGAAAACTCCGTTCCTGCRTGGTTATTGAAGTCAACCATTCGGCTCCCTACGACCTAGGGCATTCGCAGCAACACCACGACACCGCTCTCCCCTGACTGAAAACCCACCTCCTATCTGCCATTTACAAACGAACAGGACTTAACASGAAAGCACAGACAGGATCCTGGAAAGCCTCCCTGTACGCCCTTTCATTGGGAAGAAATCTTGGAAAAGTCAAATCCCAAGAGCCAATTCCAACCCCCCGCAGCACKGCACCGAGGTCACGCAGCCTTGCAGTGCTTTGATACCCCCTGGATCCTCCTGGCCGCCCCCTGCACGTTTTCCCACCCCTCCTCCCATTTCCCTCCGGAGTTTGGGCTATTAAAAGGAGTTTCAAAACAAACAGCAAAGAAACACAGGCTCCCTCCACCCATGAATCAGGTTCCCCTTTTATTTTTATTTATTTTTGTTAATAACAACCGAGAGCTGCAAAGTTATTTATGTGCAAGGGCGTCTTCAGAAACATCAGCTTTCCTGCTAACTGCCTGAAAAATACAAGAAACGCCTTCAAAACTCGAGATGAATGCCATTAAAATTGAAAAAATATTAATATTAGTGCCCAAGTTCACATATTGTGTTCTTTGCATTCATTTTCCCCTTATTTAGATACCTCCCTGCGGTGCTCTTGCCAGGAATTAGGAACATACATTAATTTCTGGCCTTCCTAAATTTTGGGTCAACAAGGGTGTTACGTGGTTTCAGAAAGGTCTAGCTGATAAAAAATGCTTTACATTAACAGGAGTTCATGTGCTTTACTCACTAGCAGGGAAACTGTATTATCTTTACTGACATATTTTGATACTGCGGGTAAGCCAAATGCTTCACCCGGAGCTGTATTTTTTATATTATACATATAAAATTATTATTATTATTAAAAGCATGGTGGAAGCCAGGACTTCAATAACACTTATTCCAAGTGCTCAGAAGTGTTGTCTCGATTTGTGGGCTGAAGCCCAACCATGGAGTGCGAGGGGATTACWAGGGAGATTATTGCTTATTTCTCCTCTCATTAAATGGGACGTGCGCAATGCTGAGTCAAAGGAACTGTTTTCTACTGAAAATTAATCTTGCCCCGCTCTTAAAGGCTTTTTATGTCCTCGTGGCCAAGCAATCGATAAGAAACCCTTTATTACTAGATGCCACTTTTCTGTGCGTTGCACAGGACAYCCTGCAGCCAAGCAGATCTGCTTCCTCTGTTAACCAGAAGAACACTACACAGATGTTATATGATATGTAATTAAGTGCATCACACAAGGCTGGTAAATAAGGACTCTGCAATCATGACTTAAAAACCAAGGAGAACGGCCYCGAAACAGCATCGCTCCTCCGAGCGACGACACCAGCCGGCACCTGCGGGAAGACGATGCCAAGCTTGGATCCTGGGCATCCCACAAGGAAGCCGAGCTCGGATCCCGGGCATCCCGCAAGGACATCTCTCTCCTGAGCAGGAAAAGGCCCTGGAACAGAGACCAAGAACCCACCTTTGGAGGCTTTCCAGAATAACGAGGCAATTCGGAAGGAGCGCGGAGCTACCTGAAGCCAGCTCTGCTCTGAGCTAGCCAACCTTCCCTCCAGCAGAATTATCCCGGGCAATGTTTCAGCTAAAAACCAAAATACCTTTGACTCTTGTTCCGAAGGCGCCAAAACCACTGCAGGCTTTGCTTACCTCCAAACAGCAGGATTAGGGTTAAATAGGTGATGTATTAACGCCAGATAATATCTTAGCAACAACTCACAATGCAAGCAAATTAGGCTGCAGCAGAAAAGGCAGCTGGGGGTAAATAAAACAAGGGCAGAAAGGGGCTGGGACGGGCGCCAAGGTCTCCCCGAGCCTCAGCCTGCAGCAGAGGACACCAAAAGGGCTGTTCCACCTCGTGCTTCACGTGCGCTCGCAACGCTGCGAACGTCACTGCTCTGCACTGGCGTAAATGCAAAGGTTACGGTGGTGCCCGGGCACAAAACCTGTATCTAATGGCACGGGTTACCACCGGAAAAAAACACCCGTGTATTTATCCAGAAACGGGTATTTCGCTCACTTTCTCCAAAGCTACTAAAGACATKTGCATATATTGCAGTAAAATACTGCCGAGATGACCCTGCAAGTAATACTCCCAATCACAAGCGAATATTTGATTGCAAAATGAATACCTTTCCTGTTAATATTTTATACCATAGATTAAAAATTCAATCTCCCATTTAGATTAAATGGAAGGGCTGCACACTTGCTCACATGCACTTTCCCAGTGTGCTTCCCTGAATCCCTCCCTGCAGCCCCATCCGTCAGTATTCCTTTTTCCAGCGCCAGATGAGAGGGGGTTTGAGCAGCCCAGGAGCTCGGCAATCCCTCCRCAAAGGGGCTTTGGTTGCTGCTCAGCGCAATAAAAAGGGATTAAGCGGCTACCTGGCAGCTTCAGAAAACTAGCTACCAAAAAAGAGGCCCCCCAAAATCCCTCGTAAAAAAAAAATATGAGAGAAAAAGAAACAGAACTCACCAAATTTCGCCCAACCATCCCCAAGACCCTGCTTGGAAGAACAGTGTAAGGAAATGGGATGCATCTGCATTGGAAAAGAGGCTTATTTTAAAGCTTTTGTTTCGCAAGGATGCCTCCCAGCTATGCCTCCTTAGAGCTGGGTCTTGTTCATCCAGGTGGGAATTTGCTCCTGCAGTGCCAGAGGCAGGAGGCGGGTAGCTCAGCGCTGGCACGACCTGCTCCCAAACCTCTCCAGACCTTCCCTGAAATCCACAGATCCAGGGATTCTCCTCGGTGGGGCTCAGGCCCCGGCAGCTGCTGGGTTTTGGTCTTTGGCAAGTATCSGTTTTGAGCTCAGTTTTTGATTCTTCAAGGAAAAAAACCCCCAAAATTTTAGCTCTGATAATATTCTGCAAGACACACCAGGGCAGAGGATCGTGATAGCAAAGTCCAGACTATTCCAGAAAAATAAATAGGATGCATGGCAACACATCAATTTGATAGAACCACATTTCTGACAATACTAAACTTGTTATTTCTAATTAAATTCAGAGCTATTTTTGCAACAAACTTAGAACCCTGACCTTCAAAAACTCTCAGGTGAAGCGCAATTCATTTCCATAATACTCTACAAAATAGAGCACAAAAAAGGGAGCACAAACATTCGTTCCTGAAAGCGTCTTCTAATTCTTCTACATTATTTAGGTATTACATGAGC